GTTTATCACCTCTACTAATTAACATGATGTAAATTTCCATGCTTCCTCCTCAAATACAATACATTTTTAAAAAATTGTTGATTTTGTGTGTGTGTGTGTTGTTGGCACCCCCCAGCCAACCCCACTACTTGCCCTTCTGGTGAATCTAATCAGCCTATCTAGAGGTCTTTGTTTTAGGAAGGTCAGCTGTTCCTCTTCTGGCACAATCAGTTGTCAATACTCCTTTAGATAAGATTAGGGTTAAGAGCAGTACATACTCTTAACTGCTGAGCTAGCCCTCCAGCCCCTACCTCCTTTCCTTTTCTAAAAAATTAAATGTATTTATTTCGGTTTTACGTGTGTGTTTTGCCTGCATGTCCAATGCACCTGTGTCAGCAATGCCCACTGAGGCCAGACGAAGGTGTCATATCACCTGGAACTGGAGTTAGCAGGTGGTTGTTAGCCTCCATATGGGTGCTGGGAACGGAACCCAAGTCCTCTGCAAGAGCATTCGGTGCTCTTTACTGTTGAGCCACTTCTCCAGTTCCTCCCCAGCCCCACCTTTCTCAATAAAGCACCTACAATGAGAAAAACCTTTCCCTGCAGGCCCAGCAATTCAAGGGGACACTGTTACACAGTAGTTTTTTGGCTCAGGTTTCCCTAAGTCAGGAACCTAACCACTGCTTCCCTCTTTTGGCTCTCTCAGTTACCCTGGGGTCACCTGTCTTTAGTTATTTAGTCTTTATACTGCTGGGATCAACCCCAGGCTTTCCTGCATATCAGACAAATGTTCTGCCACATCCCCAGCCCAGTGCACCTGTTTTTAGAGCCCAACAAGATCCCACCCCAGAGCCCTCTCCTTTTCTTCCTCAGCAGCCCTTTATGCCTTCACCCCTGCTCCTACCTGCCGTAGACTTCATCATCCAACATTTCAGTTCTCTCTCCAATATCACAATTCTCCTGCTGATGCTGTGCACCCAGGAAACCCCAGCAACTGTCTGTCCAGCTCACCTCCTCCTCTCCACCTGTATCAAGCTACTGAATCTGCAGTAGCAAACTCATACGACCACGAGGTCACTTAGAGCCACTACACAATATGTAGCCTTTGGTGGATGCCTAGTTTTCTAGGATGTCCTTGAACATCCCCAGTCAGCTGAAGTCCACCGGTTCTTGGTACAAAATGGGTCAACACTAGGTGCCACCATGGAGTGGGCGTCATTGGTGACTCTGTCAGATCTGGTGCTTTGTCAACTCATCCATTCTTCAGGTGCCAAGAAGACTTTACAGAGGCCCTGGATCCCTGGGACTTTTCCTGTGCCAGTAGATGCCACCTTGCGAGGGAGTTCTGTGGTCTATGTACTCCCTCCAAGAAGGGACAGTGCAGTCAGTGACTGGTTGACACAGGTGTGCAAAAGCTGGTCCTCTCACCTCCTGATGAGACAACTCTGCAGTGGTTTAGACTCCGGAGTCCTCCGTGGATGAAGCCAAGGCTAGACTACGCCTGAGAGCTCATCCTTTCTTAACAGTTACTACATGTTCTCTCTCCCTGCTCAATTTTCTCTTCAGATCAGTCCCTCAGTGAATCCCAGGCATTTGAATGCCCATGCCAGCTACCACTTCCAGGCTCCCAACCTAAGCTAGTACCTCCCACAGCCAGCATGATAACTAGATGAGCTAAGACATGTCTCTTCCAGTCATTCCTAGAAGTAAATTGTCCAAACATGTAAGTTCTCATTGTTCTGGAGTACCAGGATTGTTGCTACATATGAAGGTTATGTGTCTACCACCTATTGCCCAGTTAAGAAAGTTCTTTATTGGATTAACCAGTAATGAGTTCAGAGTAAATTACTGAGTGAATTAGTTACTTTTCTGTTGCTGTAATGCAATGTCATGACCAAAAGCAACTGGAAGAGAGTTTATTTTGGCTTATGGTTGCAGCAGAGGGAGAGTCCATAATGGGAGAGGCATGGAAGCAGGTGGCAGGCCTGGAAAGCTGAGCGGTCACGTCTCCAACTACACAGAGAAGGCAGAGAAAGTGAACTGGAAGTAGGGTGAGGCTATAAACTCTCAAAGCCCACCCCCAATGACATACTTCCTTCAGCAAGCCTGTACCTTTTAAAGGTTCCATAACGACCCCAAACAGCAGCACCAACTGAGGCCCAAGTGTTCAAATACATGAGCCTATAAGGGACATTTTGCATTCAAAGCATACTAAGCAGAAAGCAAAGCCCATTTTTCTTAAAAATAAAATTAATAAAATAAAATAAAAAGAGCTTTGACCAGGGCTCTAGCCACAGAGAAAATGTGGAGGGATGGGTTGCATCTGGTCTGAATAAACATGGTAGCTCTTGCCAATATATTTAGGTTGAGGTGTTTCTAGTGTTGTGGTCCCAAAGGCTAGGTAACAAGGCCATTTTTCCACTCAGTATAAGAATTTGATCATCAGAACTATCCAGCAAGGAAGAGGCCATTATTCCCCTAAGGTGAGCTTCTTTTCAACTAAACAACTAACCTGAGACTAGAAACAGCAAAAACAAACCAGCCCAGCCTGTGGTGTAGCTCAACACCAGAGCACTTGTTTAAAATATGCAGGGCTCTGGGTCTGATCCCTAGTCTGTGAGTGGATTGATGAAATGACCTCATAGTGGTAAGATTTCTGGATTACTTAACCTCACCAGTTTCTAAGAGGGCAACTCTCCTCTAGTGACTATTCATTTAGTCCACCCTGCCCTCCTTCCCTCTCCTCCACAGAGTGTGCTCGGGTGTTCCACACAGGTGGAGCAAGACTGGTACTATGTGGAAAGAGCTGGGAGAGGTTGCAGAGCCTCTACGATGCCTTGACCAGTGTGGCTGACCCCAGCAAGGTAAGGCCTTCCACAGACACCTTGAGTAACTCCTAGATACCCTGAGCCTCCATCATTGTTAAGGAAGAGTTCTGGGGAAATGTGGTGATTGCTCTGGAGAATTGTGAGACAATGGTCCCGTTGACCTTGACACAGGCATGTACTGTCTTCCTGACAAAACCAAAACTTTGGCACTGACCTCTTCACCCTATGTATGTCAGACTCATTCTGGAGTCTTGGCCACAAGTTCAGAGTTATTACTGCGTATTTACATTCATATTTACTGTTGCCATAGTGTCCCAAAATGGATTCGCTAGCAATCGCCTTCATCCCAGAGTCATTTCACTTCTTCTTTGTCTTGATTTGGTTTTATAGTCATTCAGTGAGTTTTGAATTCTGAGAGGGGTGGCTGTTAGATTGAGGCACCCAAAGTCTACAAAGAGGTGATCTCATGCGTATCTCAATGCTCTCCTTGTCCCGGCAGACATTCACCCCAAAGCTGGTCCTCCTGGATCTCTCAGACATCAGCTGTGTTCAAGACGTGGCCAAAGAGGTCCTGGATTGCTATGGCTGTGTGGACATCCTCATCAACAATGCCAGTGTGAAAGTGAAGGGGCCTGCTCATAAGATTTCTCTGGAGCTCGATAAAAAGATCATGGATGCCAATTACTTTGGACCCATCACCTTGACCAAAGGTCTCATGAGATTCATTTTTCCCTGGGTCTGGGAACCACCAGATACTATAGAAGGATCTGTGGTGCCACTGAGTGGACATCCAGTTCTGGCTGGAGTTCTTCAACCCAGGAAAGCTCCTAATTTGCATATTGAAAGCTTTCAACATCCCCACTGTAAATGTTGGTCACAGAAAAGGAATTTTGGAAGTGTCTTCCTGGTATATTCTCATCTCTCTCTATGAAGCTCTGCTCCCTATCCACATTCTGTCCTGTCCCCCTCTCTTTGTACTTACATGCATGGCTCCCCTCTGACTGAACCTCTCTGGACCACTCTCTTCATATAAGTGTTTTGCTCCATCATCAACCTTGCAGTTGATCTCCTTCTAACCATGACAGTAGGTCAAAAGTTCCGTCTTCTGAAATGAAAAAGATGAGGCTGGGGAGCTAGCTCAATAGGTAAAGTGCTTGCTATGCAAGCTTAAGGAAATGAGTTCAGATCCCTAGCACCATGCAAAACCAGGCATGGTGGCACATGCTTGTACCCTCAGCCCTGGAGCAAGACAGAGACAGAAGGATTCCAGGATCTTGCTTGCTAACCAATGTAGCCTAAGCAGCAAGCTCCAGGTTCAGTTAGAGATCCTATCTCAGAAAACAAGACAGAGGGGCTGGAGAGATGACTCCGTGGTTTAAAGCACTGCCTGTTCTTGGAGAGGACCCAGGTTCGATTCCCAGCACCCACATGGTGGCTAACAACTGTCCACAACTCCAGTTCCAGGGGAATCTGATGCCCTCTTCTGACCTCCTCAGGCACTGCACGACACAGGTGTACTTACACACATGCAGGCAATACACTCACACACAGAAAAGTAGTAATTTTTGTGTATGTGTTTTGTTTTTTTGTCTTTTTGAGACAGGGTCTCCCTGTAGTCCCAGCTGACCTGAACTCACTATATAGACCAGGCTGGCCTTGAACTCACAACAATCTGCCTGCCTGTGCCTCCTGAGTGCTGGGATTAAAGGCATGTGCCACCACGCCCGGCATAAAATATATATACATTTTTTTGGTCTTTTTGAGACAGGGTCTCCCTGTAGCCCCAGCTGTCCTGGAACTCACTATGTAGACCAGGCAGGCTGGCCTTGAACTCACAGAGATCCACCTGCCTCTGCCTCCCGAGTGCTGGGACTAAAGGTATGTGCCACCACTCCCGGCTTATAAAATATTTTTTTAAAAAAGAAAACAAGATGGAGAGCAATCAAGGAAGATACCCAAAGTCAACCGCTGGCCTCCACATGTGCATGCACAGGCAAACATACACATGCATGTGCACACAGGCACACGGGCACACATACACACACACACACACACACACACACCACATCAAAAAGCAAAAGAAATAAATGAAGAACACTACTGCCCAACTGCAAGAGACAGTGTTCTTTCAATCCTTTCACCAAAACGGGACATGCGGGAATGTGTCCTTTTACAGGGGAAGTAGTGGTTCCCAGGGAGACCTGTTAGAAGTCTAGAAGACGATCGCTAGAAGACAAACTCTAGAGAATTTTCATGGCTGGGCTCACATGCATATCTGCAGCCTGGGTTAGGGCTAGAGTTACCCATGAGAGAATCACCAATTGAATCCCTTCCCCTCCACAACCTGAATGTGACTCACAGCATGCCCCGTGGAAGGAGCGCCTGGAAGAGGCTGGGAAGGCATGATCTCGTATCTCCTGCCCTGTAGCCAGTTCCCACACTGAGGCCTCTAGTATGAGATTCTGAGACAGATGAAGGAAAGAGGCAACTGAGGCAGGAACATGACTTCCCAGCGCTTCTAGAATGGCACTCCAGAAATAACACGTTTCCAATCAGGTGTGATGGCAAAAGCCCAAATTCCCAGTACTCAGGATGCTGAGGCAGGAGGGTTATCAGTTTGAAGCCAGCCTGTGTCACACAGTGAGACTCTATCTTTAAAAAAGAAAATGATCAATTTCCTCCAGCCTAGTCCCTATTGGCAGGCCAGCAAAGGCATGTCACTCCATCAATCTCTGATGGGGACTGTTCAGGGGTAACAAGTGACAAATGAGAACAGAGTGTGAAAGGCCAGGACTGGTTTCTTCTCCTAGCTAGGCCTATCCCGTGCTCAGGGACCTGAGTCTGGTCACAACTCTGGGCCTCCAATTGCTCTTCTCTAAGATGGAGGGGCTGGGTTTAACTGACCATCCTGGAAACTGAGGTCTGAGCACAATCTTCCATCTTCCCTTACTGTTTATTTTCTTACTACTTTTCTCTACATTTCCTCATTTTACATTAAATCTACATTAGGAAGAAATCTTTATAACAGCATGTGTTTAAAACTCATTTCACTTTCAATCGACAGAAAGCAACCTAAAAACTAAACGAAGGACATTCTTCCAAGACAGCTTGGAGCACATTTGGTGTTTCTTCACTTTAGTAAAAAAATTAGCATGTGTGGCTGGGTATAGTGGCACATGCCTTTAATCCCAGCACTCAGGAGGCAGAGGCGGGCAGATCTCTGTGAGTTCAAGGCCAGTCTGGTCTACATAGTTGAGTTCCAGGCCAGCTTGGGGCTACAGGGAGACCCTGTCACACACACACACACACACACACACACACACACACACACACACACACACATACACAATTGGCACTTGCAAAGGAGGAATTAAAGGCGCAGTGGAAGCCAGGCATGGTGGTGTATGCCTGCAATCCCAGCACTTAAGAGGTTCAGTCAGGTGGGGCACAAGTTCAACACTAGTCTGAGTCACATAGCAAGTACCAGGCCAGCCTTAGCTACATACTGAGACCTTGTCTAAAAACAAACAACAAAAACAGCGACATATCTGAAACAATAAGAGGAGAAACAATTAAAAAGAAAATAACTTTTGGCAGTAAGTAGGTGGTGGTTCATGCCTTTAATCCCAACATTTAGGAGGCAGATGCAGGTGAAGCTCTCTGAGTTCAAGGCCAGCCTGGTCTTTCAAGCTGGGTGTAGTGATGATCCAGTCTCAAGGAGGGGTGGGAGGAATAAGGTGAAAGGAGGGAGGGAGGGAGGGAGGAAGGGAGGAAGGAAGAAAGAAAGAAAGAAAGAAAGAAAGAAAGAAAGAAAGAAAGAAAGAAAGAAAGAAAGAAAGAAAGGAAAGGAAAGGAAAGAACTTATCAAATTCTGTGTCATTTAACTAGTCCACATTGATGGGTCATTTCAAATCACCCAACAATGCACCAACCAAGCTGTATACTCTCTTGGAAACACTGGGTCAGTAACTTCCTGGAGCTACTCCATCTCTGTCCCTCGCAGTCTAATTGGATTGGAGGTGGCAGAACCTTGTGTGGCAAAGGGCATGTGGGAAGGATCTGCCTCTGCTGTTTACCTGTCTCAGATTTCTAATTGGGACTCCTTCTGTTTTCCAGTCCTGCTTCCCAACATGATCTCCCGGAGGACAGGCCAGATCGTGTTGGTGAACAACATCCAAGGGAAGTTTGGGGTCCCCTTCCGCACAGCTTGTAAGTTGCTAAGACAACGTCAGAGTGACTCATGTTGTATGTCTTATGCATTAAGATGAGCACTGCCAGGTATGGACCAGGCAAAGGACCACACGGGAGGAGGGGTGTCTCATCCAGAGATGAGATGATTCTGCAGGATTTTCTTTCACGCCTCAGTCCTCCAGGAGATGTTGGAACATAATGGGTAAGATTCCTCTCCTCCTGAAGGCAGTCTCACAGGTGAAGGACACACACTGGCTCTACATGACACTGCCAGGTGAAAGTCACGCTCCCACAGAGGTGCACAACCCTAGCCCAAATTCCCCTTCTTTTGTGAAGTTGTCCCCAAAGGACAGGAAAGATTAGAATCAGGAAGAAGAGGATGGGTACCCATCGTAAAATGGGAACGTGGGGGAGATGCTGAGGAAAGAAGGGAAAGGGGAAAGAGGCAGACTCCCAGGAGATGAGTTTTGTGCAGTAGCAGTATTATAGCCAATGAGGTTTATCAAAGCACAATTATTGCTACTTAGAATCCCAGGAGATGAGAGGCTCCAAAGGTGACATGTGCTAGAGGAGATCCCAACGGTAAGTTTCTAAGGGAAAATTCTAGAAACATCCCCTCCTTCCAAAAAGGCAAAAACGTACGATTTCCACTCTGTTATGTCCCTGTTGTGTTTATTTTTCCTGGGGAGACATGAACGAATATCTACTCACCCCAGATAGGGCCCCATGATACACCAGAGAAATGACTACTGAAGTCAAGCTTGGTGAAGCCTTTGGTGCTGCTGACAGGAGATGGATGAGGAGTTACCTACAGGAGCACGGGCAACTGATAAGTGATTGTACTCGTGCAGAAAATGCTGCTGCCTCCTTGACTCTCCACCCAGCAACAGTCAGTCACTTAGACATACTCAGAGAGGGACAGGGCCCCATGATCATGCCCCATGACCATTAATGGGCCCAATCTCATGGGGGGGTCTTGTGAAGGTAATCACTATTGCTGAGAGTTCAATTAAGCAACAGTCATGTCATGCCCAGAAGGCAGCATTCCACCAGAGTCCCATAGTTCCACAGGCAGAAAACGGCTAAGAGTCCCATAGTTCCACAGGCAGAAAACGGCTACTACATGGAAGGATAGGAGTGAGAGGGGAAGGGAGAAATGAAATCTAAGGTGCCCCCATGTGAGTTTGATTGGACTCCCATAACGAAATACCACAGATGAGTGGGTTAAACGACAGGAATCTCACTTTGTCAGTTCTAGAGGATGGAAGTACACAGTGGCGGTGGGTAAGGCTGGCTTCCTCTGTGGTTTCACCCTTTGGCTTGCACACAGACACCCTCCTACTTTATCTTCATGTGGCCTTTTCCTATGTGGTGAGTGTGGTGTCTCCCTGTGCATCCAAATTTCCTATCCTTACAAAGACACAAATCGTAGGGGATTGGCCCCTTACGGAAGATTTTTATTTTAACATAGCACAATATCGTAGTATGTGTCAGGTTTCTTTCAATTGGTGGTCAAGTATTCCATCGTTTGGCCACATCACACTTTACCTGTTCATCTACTGACGGGTGTTTGTGCTGCTCCCACTTTTTGGCATTATGAAGAAAGCTTCTATGAACATGGATGTACACTTTCTGTGAGGACATATTTTCATTTCTCCTGGGTGCAAATCTAGGAGAGGAATTGCTGGGTCCCATGGGAACTTTAGTTTTAAATGTCTGAGAGACTTCCAGGCTGTTTCCAAAACAGCCATGGCATTTTACATTCCCAGCAGCATACATAAGGGTTCTGATTTCTCCAGTCTTTGTCAACACTTGTGATTGTCCATCTTGATTTTAGCGATCCTAACGGGGTAAAGAAACATCTCATTGTAGCTTTGGTTTGCACTTCCTTTTTTTTTCCTTTGAAAGTGGATCTGGGTCTATTATGAGCTCTGGAGTGTTCCTCATAGGGCACAGGAGACAGGAGACTGGGGTTGTAGTCAGAGCTCTTCCACCCGTGGCTGTGGAACCTAATGCCATTCACATGACCTTCAGCTCTTCCTCCTTCACTCTTCACAGAGTGGGCACAATGGCTCATCTATCTCTTCACTAAATGTACAGTGGCCTCTCAGTATCCGTGGGACACTGATTCTAGGATCTCCACAGAAGGATGCTTAAATTCCTATATAAAATGGCTTAATATTTTCTTTGAACCTATGTGCATCCTCTCACATTCTTTAAAGCATCTGTGGATTGCTTACAAGACCTAAAACAAGGTAAATATTATGTAAACGACATTATATCCTATTGTTTAGGGAATATTGACAAGAAAAAAGTCTGTATGTGTTCAGTACACATGCAAATTTTTCTCAAATATTTTCAGTCCACATTTGGGTAATTCACAGATCTAGAGGGCCAACTGTTAAATGAAGGACACAGTCAATTGCACACAGGGGCAGAGACTCAAAAGAGATATGTAGGCCAATTAAAGGTAACTGTATAAACCAAAGAGCTTGCACGCCCTTTCAGCTCCAAGCTTGGAGGAAGGTGCATGTCTGCCCTCTGCACTCCTCAGGGTGGGGAAGTGGGATCAGAGACCTTCCCGCACCCACCCCTGACTGGTCTTTCTTCCAGATGCAGCCTCCAAGCATGCTGTCCTTGGCTTCTTTGACTGCCTCAGAGCGGAAGTCGAGGAATATGACGTGGTGGTCAGCACCGTGAGCCCAACTTTCATCCGGTCCTCCCATGTTTATCCTCAGCAAGGAAATTGGGAAGCCTCCATTTGTAAATGTAAGACTTCAGAGGGGAAGCATTGAACCTGGGGTTGGAAAAGCCAGACCCTTAGGCTGGAGGCACGAGGTATCGAGAGCCCTAGCTGCAGCCAGCAGACCTTGGTGGGGTTGAGAGATACTCACCCTGCTCTGCAGCTTTCCCCAGGCCTAATAGCCAGGTCTTGGTCTTTAAGAACCACTCTGCTCCTGCCTTCTGAGGAGGCAGGCCTAATTAGAAGGTTCTCCAGCCAGACCACCTGTACCTCACACTTCCCTCTGCCACAGCTTGGAGGCAAACCCTTCATCACACTGTGTCTGTTTCCCCTTTAGAAAATGAGCCTTGCTAGTAATGGCATTGTGGGGAACACTGAAAGTTCTGGCCTACCACCACATGGGGAGTGCACATTATTATTCTAAAATATTCTAACTGTAGAGACATTGCCCCTTGGCCAGGCTCTAGGTTTACAATGAAACACCAACATGAACCAGCTGGGACACAGAGCAAGTGTCTCCAGAGGCTCTGGAAAAACACAACTTTGTCCTCACAATTGACAGCCCCTGGTTCACCTTATTTCTTAAGCTCTTCCCCAATACCCTCCACTGTGAAGGTGGTAAAGAGGCCATTTCACAAATGAAACAGCAAAGGCTTGAGGGTGAGGTTTCTTCCCCAGCGTGGAGGCCAGGGTACAGCCAAGCATCAGGAAAACATGACGCCAGAGATGCCCATGGGCATCTTTGCAATCAAAGGATTGGAACCGGCTGCTGCTGGCCCAGACCATAACCTGTCCCTGGGCTTTCAGTCTTTTTCAGGAAACTGGCCTATGGTGCACACCCAGTGGAGGTGGCTGAGGAAGTGATGCGCACAGTGCGAAGGAAGAAGCAAGAAGTGTTCGTGGCCAACCCAGTCCCCAAGGCCGCTGTGTTCATTCGCACCTTCTTCCCCGAGTTCTTTTTTGCTGTTGTGGCCTGTGGGGTGAAGGAGAAGCTCAATGTTCCAGAGGAGGGTTGACTGTGAGAGCCCAAAGGGGTCACTAAATGGGAATAAAGGCTTTCCTAGCAAGTGCTGGCTCATCTGTCCTCTCCCTCCCTTAGGGTCCCTCAAGAGCCCCAGTGACTAGCCTGTCAGATCCCCTGTGCAAGGCACTTACCCTCTCACTGAGGGTGGTTGAGCCAGCCTAGTGCTGTGGAGTTTCTGGATTTCTCTCACTCAAGATTCCCAAAGGCACACTTCCAGACATTTCTCTGCTCCATAGGGTAACAACTGAGCAGGAACACAGAAGCCATAATGTATCAAACCCCCACATTATCCATGCATCTCCCATAGGGAGATGTCCAGTTAATCAGCAACAGACATTGCTCTGCAACCCTTTAGGGTGGCAGCACTGCCCAGTGGGATGGGAATATCCTATGATCTGTATCAGCCAATATGGCAGCCACCAGTCACATGTGGCCAATGGAATTGTTAATTTTACTTAATTGTGAGCAATTTAAACATTAATAGTTCATGATACTCTAGTAACTGTCATATATTGATTACTAATATTAATCATTACTTTATATTAACATGTTATATAAATATATCCATTATACAAACACATTAAATTATTCTAGTAATGACTAATATTAATATAGTTATTGAGTGTTAACATGTAGTATTGTATATTTTAGTATATAATCACATGATATGATATGTTACACATATATTTCATATACAATATAAACATATGCTATAAATATATATGTAATAATATGCTTACATATGACATCATTAGATAAAAATGTCAATGTACTCATTAAGTTTAGCTAAGAAATTCTTTTTTGTTTTGTATGCGTATGAGTGTTTTGCCTGCATGTATATAAGTGTACCATGTGTGTGCAATGCCTGCAGAGGTCACAAGAGGGTGTAAGATTTTTCTGGTACTGAATTTATGGACAATTGTTAGCCACCATGTAGGTGCTGGGAACCAAACCTGGGCCCTCTGCAAGAGCAGCCAGGGCTCTTAACCACTCTCCAGCCCCTAACTAAGAAATTCTTAATAGCACTCCTCATTGGAAGTGCAGCCAGCCCCTCTCTAAAAAACCAGGCACAAAGAGCCGGGTTTTGGATTCTCAGTGCCAGGCAGCTAGAGATCCTCTACCCTCGGGTATCCCGTCCCAGACTTTCTCAAAACAAAACTCTTAAAACCACCACTCTTGAAGCTTTGCTTACATAGACAGTAAATGATTCCTGGGCTCTTGGAAAGTGTTTGGCACGTGCTTTGCATTAATATTGTAACCGCTGACTCAAACTTTCCTAATATTTATAGATGAAGAGGGCAGCACTTTCTTCCCCTGACCTGTCTTTTACAAAATTAACAGATAAAGCTCTACAGATGGATGGATGTAAATGTTCACTTAAAAACTAAAATGCAAGCTGGAGAGATTGCTCAGTGGTTAAGAGCACTTGCTTCTCTTCCAGATGACCTTGAGTTTGGTTCCTTGCATCCATGTCAGGCAGTTCACAACCACCTGTAGCTGGTTCCAGGGGATCAAGCATCCTTTTCCGGCCTCTTTAGGTACTGCACTCAGGTGCATGTACCAACATACACACACACACACACACACACACACACACAATTTAAGATGATAAAAATGGGGGCTGGAGAGATGGCTCAGCAGTTAAGAGCACTGACTGCTCTTGCAGAGGACCCGGGTTTGACCCCCAGCACCCACATGGCAGCTATGAACTGTCCTTAACTCCAGTTCCAGGGAATCTGACATAAAATAAAAATAAATTAAAATTTTAAAAAAGATTATAAAATAATAAAAAATAAATCTGGGGCTGGAGAGATGGCTCAGCAGTTAAGAGCACTGGCAGCTCTTGTAGAGGACCTGGGATCAGTTCCCAGAACCTGCATGGCAGCTAACAATCATCCATCACTCTAGTTCCGGGGATCCAACACCCTCTTCTGGCCTCTGCTGGCAATGCATGCACAGATGCACTTTCATATAAGCAAAACACTCATACACATAAAATAAAAATAAATCACAAAATTAGGCTCTATCCATATATGTATATATAATAAAATACATTAAATTGGGTGTGGGGTAGTAAGCAGAGGTGCGGATAGAGGAGTAGATCTAAAGACAATCACCATCACTCTAGTTCCGGGGATCCAACACCCTCTTCTGGCCTCTGCTGGCAATGCATGCACAGATGCACTTTCATATAAGCAAAACACTCATACACATAAAATAAAAATAAATCACAAAATTAGGCTCTATCCATATATGTATATATAATAAAATACATTAAATTGGGTGTGGGGTAGTAAGCAGAGGTGCGGATAGAGGAGTAGATCTAAAGACAATCA